CCGATGTCAAAACTTGCCACCTTTTGCCATTTTTTGGCGGCTCCGATGTCAAAACTTGCCACTTTTTGCCATTTTTTGGCGGCTCCGATGTCAAAGCTTGCCACTTTTTGCCATTTTTTGGCGGCTCCGATGTCAAAGCTTGCCACTTTTTGCCATTTTTTGGCGGCTCCAATGTCAAGACCTGCCACTTTTTGGCGCCGCGGGTGTCACCTGTTGACGCGTGTCCGTGTCCGTCGCCGTCGTCTCGGGTGTCATCCGTTTGGGACGACGGGCGCGAAGTGTTTGAAGGCGGCCCGGGTGTATGCCTATAGAAGCAGAAACCAAAGGAAGGTCAGCCCTGTGCGTGCTGCTCATCGCAGAAAATAAAGGAGAAGAGACAAGACCGGGGCGGGGGAGCACAGAGGCGCAAGCCTGTGGGCTAAGCACTCAGAAAGACAGAAGGGAAAGCCCTCACCGACTACAGACGGCACGACCCCAGTGCCCAGTCACCCGGAGGAGCGCGCTCAAGGTCTTAAACGCCAAAGATAAGAGGTGGAAGGAAGCGCCGGCGTGGGCAGTGGGTCCTATAGTTAAGGAGAAGCCTGCGGCGCCATCTTGTCGAAATTTCCGACAAGACAGAGCAAGAACCGCAGAGAGCAAGCCGAGCACACTAGAGCGATAGACGGGAAAAGACCAGCAACAAACTGAGAGAAGCAACCAAGACAGAGGCACCCGCTGGCGATTTCCGTCTATATGAGAAACTACTACGGCCACCCCATGCGTGCCCCGCCCCTGTGCTGTCCTCTTGAGGAGTAGAACCAAGCGCAGCTCCTATGTACTGCCTACCTACCTCGCCAAGCTTGTCGAGCCTGTCACCCTGTCGAAATTTCCGACAGGAGCAGGAGCCGCCGAAAATGAAAGGCGCGCGCCTAACAAAGCCGACAAAGGTCAAAGCCTGCCCGATCGAGGTCTGCACGAAATGAGTGCGCAAGACTGAGAAACAAGCAACCGCAGCGGACAAGACGGCGAACCAGCTCCGGGGGTGTTCACGGTTCTAAAAGCCAAGAGACTCCGACAGCGGTGAGAGCTGTCAAGGCTGAAGCGGGTCACCTTGCTGCGCATGAGAAGGCCCAAGGTTAGCCCCCCGAGCTGGAGGCATAAAAAGGGCCAACCGTAGAGGCCTGCAAAGCCGTCGAAATTTTCGACAGGAGCAAGAACCGCCGAAAGCGCACACGCCTGCGATCGTTGACAGGGGCCAAGCCTCACCCGACCAGGGCGAGCCCGTCCGACCAGAACAGACTGCGCCGGACTGATCAAAAGGAGGCCACATGCGAGCCCTGTCACCCGAAGGAGCGCGCTCAAGGTCTTAAACGCCAAAGAGGTGGACGGAAGCGCCGGCGTGGGCAGGGGGTCCTATAGTTAAGGAGAAGCCTTCGGCGCCATCTTGTCGAAATTTCCGACAAGAGCAAGAACCGCAGAGAGCAAGCCGAGCACACTAGAGCGATAGACGGGAAAAGACCAGCAACAAACTGAAAGAAGCAACCAAGACGGAGGCACCCGCTGGCGATGTCCGTCTATAAAAACAACAACTAGGGCCACCCCGTGCGTGCCCCGCCCCTGTGCTGTCTTCTTGAGGAGTAGAACCAACCGCAGCGCCTATGTACTGCCTACCCACCTCGCCAAGCCTGTCGAGCCTGTCACCCTGTCGAAATTTCCGACAGGAGCAGGAGCCGCCGAGAATGAATGGCGCGCGCCTAATAAAGCCGACAAAAGCCAAAGCCAGCCCGATCGAGATCGCGCGAAATGATGGCGCAAGACTGAGAAAAAAGCGACCGCAATGGACAAGACGGCGAACCGGCTCGGGGGGTGTTCACGGTTCTAAAAGCCAAGGAACTTCGACAGCGCTGAGAGCTGTCAAGGCTGAAGCGGGTCACCTTGCTGCGCATGAGAGAGAAGGCCCAAGGCCACAGGCGAGCCCAGTCACCCAAAGGAGCGCGCCCAAGGTCTTAAACGCCAAAGAGGTGGAAGCGTCGGCGTGGGCAGCCCCATAAGGCGAGGCCTTGGGCGCCATCTTGTCCAAATTTCCGACAAGAGCAAGAACCGCAGAGAGCAGGCCGAGCGCACTAGAGCGATAGACGGGAAAAGATCGGCAACAAACTGAGAGGAGCAAAAAGCCAAGAGGGAGAAAGAACACACAACAGCAATGACATCAGAAAGAGGGCCAGAAGCGGAAGCCTGGCGGGTCATCTCGTCGAAATTTTCGACGAGAGCAAGAACCGCCGAAACCGAAGCCGGCGCGCTGCATGGTCGCGACCGGGTCGACAAGGTTGCCCAAGCCTGAGCGGCTGCGCCCCGACTACGTCCAACGGGTGGGCGGCGGCAGACATGGCCTAGGTAGGAGGCCGAGCGCGAGAAGCGCCGGGGCGGCCGGCGGCTACGCTTGGGAAGAGCC